GGGGTGGGGGTGGTGGGGGGGTCCTCCTCCTTTGGTCATGGTCGAGAGGACAGGCTGAGGGGGACAGTTGAGTCACAGGGCTGGGACAAGGGCAATGGCCAAGGGATGAGTCAAGGGAATGGTTGAGGCCAAGGGAGAGGAGCAGCCATGGGATGGGTCGAGGGGGACAAATGGCCAAGGGGGAGAAGTTGAAGGGACAGGGATGGGGATGGGGAGGGCAGTTGAGTCATGGGGTCAAGTCGTTGGTGATGGCCAAGAGATGGGTTGAGGGATCGGCGATGGGATGAGTCAAGGAGGGACGGACAGCCAAGAGGGACGGCTGGGTTCTGGGAACCCGTCAATGGAGATGGCCAAGGGATGGGTTGAGGGAAGGACCACGGGACAGTCAAGGGGGCACAAATGGCCACGAGGACCAGATGGAGGGGACTCGGACAGCCGTGGGGGATGACCTGGGGGACTCGTCTGTGTCCATTTCCCACCACCACCACCCCCCCACCCAGGAGCCGTGCGCAGCTTTGGTTCGGCCAAAGCCCGCTATGACTTCTGTGCCCGGGACCGGACAGAGCTGACGCTGCGGGAGGGTGACATCATCCATGTCCTCAGCAAGAAGGGCCACCCAGGCTGGTGGAAGGGAGAGATCTATGGGCGGGTATGGCCCCTTCCCCACTCCAGGGTCCTCCCCCCCCAACACCGAGCTCCTCACACCTTCTCCCAATGTGTCCTTCTTCTCCCAGGTTGGATGGTTCCCCGCAAACTATGTGGAGGAAGATTACTCAGAGTATTGCTGACCATGGACCCCCACCCCATCCCATCCACCACCTTGTGTCCCACTGCCTGTGTCCCCCCCAGAGGCCACCACATCCCTCCCCCCCCTTTCGGAAGGGGACCCAGGTGTCCGGGTGGGGAACGAGGCCAGGGGGTTGGTTTTTCTGGGAAGGGACCCAGGTGTCCAGGAGGGCGATGAGGTCAAGGTTGTGCAATCGATTTCTCTGGGAACGGACCCAGGCATCCGGGCAGGGATGAGACCACGGGGTTGATGTCTCCAAGAAGGGATCCGGTTGTCCAGGCGGGGATGAGACCATGGGGTCAACATCTCCAAGAAGGGACCCAAGCCTCTGGGCAGAGGACATGGACGAGGTCCTAGGATCACCTTCACTAGGAAGGGACCCAGGTGTCTGGGTGGGGACAAGGCCACGGGGTCGGTCCCTCCAAGAACGGAACCAGGCGTCCAGGCAGGGGAGCCCCATCACCGCTGTTACGTGCCATGAGCAGCCTCAGGCCTCAGCCCGCACTGGGGGCGGGGGGGAAGTGGTTTGTGGGGCTGTTCGGTGGTTTCGGGGCTGTTCAGTGCCGCTTCCCCTCTGCCACTGGTGCTGTGGGGCCACTGCGTCTCCTGTCATGGGGCGTCCCCCCCTCGCCGCCTGCCTCTGGGGTGAGTCGTGCCTCATCTCCCCCCCCCGGGGGGGGGGGGGGGGGCGGATTTGGGGGTGAAATGGAGGGAAATGGGAAAAGGAAAACTGAGGCAGGGACGGAAGTAGGTTGGGGCTGCAAGAGCTGCAGTGCAAAGCAGCCCCAAAATGGCCTGAAATTGCCCCAAAACGGGGCTTCTGGAGCTGGGATTTGGGGTGTCAAACCCTAAAGTGGGGTCTTGAGCCCCAAAAAGAAGGGTTTGAGCCCTGATGGGGGAGGATTGAGCCCCAAAAGGGGGTTTTGACACCTCATGGGGGGGGGGTGATTCCCCAAAAGAAGGGTTTGAGCTTTGGGGGGGAAGGGGAGCCCCAAAAAGGGGTTTCTGAGCTCTCATATGCGTAGGATAAACCCCAAAAGGAGGGGTTTGACCCAAAAAGGGGGGATTTGACCCCCCCAAAGAAGGTTTTGAGCCCTGATGGCAGTGTGGAGCACAAAAAGGGGGTGTTTAACCCCAAAAGGGGAAGGTTGAGCCCTGATGGGGGAAGAATGAGCCCCAAAAGGGGGGACTGAGCCCCAAAAATTAAGGTTTGACCCCCAAAGGGGGATTTTGAGCACTGATAATGGGGTTTGGCCCCTAAAAGTGGGGTTTGAGGCCTGGGGGGGGGGTGATCCTGGGGGGTCACTCCTCGAGGGGTGGTCCTGGGGTGCTGATTGTCCCCCTGTGTCCTCCCAGTGCTGTGCCACCTCCTGAGCCACCT